TATATGTATATACACATATATACGAAATCATGTGTGATGTCACAGTGTCAGCTGTGGTGTATCAAGTCACGGCCCTCTCTCGCGGATAGTGATGCGGTCAAAACTCAAAAGGCAATTCGGACAAATGGCAATTTTCCCCATACACAAAGATCACTCACACTGATAGGTCAATAGCAATCGAAAAACAATCTATGGCTGCTGCAAATACTAAATAACCAAATATTGGAATACATTGGCTGCAAATTACAGAGTGAGACTTCAGGGTTCACTACATTGTTTTCAGACTTCACAGTCAAGGATGAAGGTCCAAAAAGGTGAACAGCCAAAATGGCAAATAGTGTTTTTTTAAATTTAGAAGGCTATGCAACTAGGCTCAATGTAAATAAATTCAGAAAAAAACAGGGAAAAAAGGGGTCGATGATATATTATAAACGGGTGAATATGAATGAACCGCGAGTCGCGTGAATGAACTCAGAAGTCAGAACGCTATGGTGCTAACCGTGACATTCTGTCTTTCTCAAGGAACATCACTGTCACTTCCGTTGAGAAATATTGCTGCACTTGTAGAAGGCATATAACTTTCGAACTCTCGGCTTGTATGGAGGTAAGGTCGTAGCAATACGACACTGTGTTCAAAACCTCGGTCTGAATGCGCTAATTATGGCGTTCATAATTAGCAATCACTGTCACTTCCGTTGAGAGATATTGCTGTGCTTGTAGAAGGTATACAACTCTCGGACTCTCGGGTTGTATGGAGGTAAGGTCATAGGAATACGACACCGTATTCAAAACCTCGGTCTGAATGCGCTAATTATGGCGTTCATATTTTGCAATCACTGTCACTTACGTTGAGAGATATTGCTGTGCTTGTAGAAGTTATACAACTCTCGGACTCTCGGCTTGTATGGAGGTAAGGTTATAGGAATACGACACCGTATTCAAAACCTCGGTCTGAATGCGCTAATTATGGCGTTCATAATTAGCAATCACTGTCACTTCCGTTGAGATATATTACTGTGCTTGTAGAAGGTATACAACTCTCGGACTCTCGGCTTGTATGGAGGTAAGATCGTAGGAATACGACACCGTATTCAAAACCTCGGTCTGTATGCGCTGTTTATGGCGTTCATAGTTAGCAATCACTGTCACTACCGTTGAGAGATATTGGTGTGCTTGTAGAAGGTATACAACTCTCGGACTCTCGGCTTGTATGGAGGTAAGATCGTAGGAATACGACACCGTATTCAAAACCTCGGCCTGTATGCGCTAATTAATGCGTTTATATATTGAGACGCAATCTCCCCGACCGAGGTTTATAATCTGTCGATCACCTTGTTGCTCTCATAGAGAAAGTTCACAGGGAATGCTTGATTGCATTGTATTTAAACACCACTCTAGCTGGATTTGGCACCCTATCCACCAAATCAAAGGCACTTTCTGTCTGTCACTTATTGGTTTGCGCCCAAGGTATCCAGTATATAAATTGCTCAGTATATCACGAGAAATCAGCGACCGGCGCTCGTGACACAGCAAGCGCACACTGCCCATTGTATAATAACTACTTTCTAATTCATAATAAATTAGACCAAACTTACGTAATACTCTCATATGTTCCCCGCCAGCATCGACCGCACAAAGAAATTGCTTCTGCCCATGATACCATAAACAATCGCCGCGTCCTGTTTCTCGACCTTTAAGTATGGCTTTGGATTGACATTGTGTGCAGGTTCATATGATTTGAACTCTATTATATGGTTCATTTGATCTGCCCACACCACCCTATTGTTCTTCTCACTTTGCGGGCAGTTCCCTGTTGGTAGTTTTAGGGACGAAGCTAACAGTATTCCAAGCATGATCGATTACATATATTATTTATTTTGATGCCTTAGTGTTCAGATCCCGTCTTATTTATATATGTATTTTTTGAATGCTTCATAATTCATTTATCGTATCACAAGGCTTTTTAAAAGGCGCTGTGTACGTCGCTGCTGTAGCCTACAATATGTACTCCACTTTGAGTCTTATATCACCCCCTTTGTTAGTTGTTTACTCTGTGTGCATATTTTACAAAATGTCAGCGATAGGAAAGATATAAACAAGCCGTGGGGTTTAGTGATAAAAATAGGCTTTTTTATATATCTGATTGGAAATTGTCAGCGCAACAGGAGTGTGATATTTGTGCTTTTTGATATGACCCGTGGCGAAGTGAATCACTCATTTGTGTCATTTCATGGACTTTAACCCAAAATTTCGCATGGCGCGCACGCCACACCATAAATCCTATTGGATCTATTCAGGGGTTTTCTGATTCTAGTGCCTGTCCAGGGTCAGCCGGCCAGATCGGACGTCAGACCCAAAACTATGATAGTTGGTAGTATCTATATATTTAGTATTAATGTCAATTTAGAAGGCTATGGTATTAACTGTATGAATGTATGCATATCAATTATTAGAGGCTCTTAATTACACACTTCCCCTGGGCCCTGGCCTGGTAGCCTGGGCCCTGGCGGCCTGTCCCTTATTGCAGGTATTTATATATCTGAGTATGAACTCTGACGTCTGCCTAGTCGCGTACACACACTCTCGCTGTCTAGTATCATTTCTGACCTTTTCGCATGGGTCAGTGCCGTTGAGTTAGTACCGAGTGGACACTGGCCATGCGCAAACACTAAAAGTGTATTTTAATGGCATACACGCTTGACTTTCCTTTTGAGTTTTGACAAACACTTCGACTAAGTAAATATACAGCCCACCAGGAAGGACTTGGTCTTAATAGTTGTTTGTATTTAGATGCTCTTGTGCAAGCAACATCGATTCAATATAAATATGGGCAACGAGAAAGGACTCGGTTTTGGAAGTTGTTTGTATTCAGCTGCCCGTGTTTGATCAACATACCAAACACGTCAATCTAAAATAAAAACAACAGACCATAGACAAGTAAGGTGTGAATAAAACACCGCTTATATATATGTTGTTTTATATCATAAACCCTATTGTCTATGGACGTTTGACTAAAAGTCGATACTATTTCAGATCATACCTATATGAAAGTACTTGCGTGTATATGGCGTATATATCGATATCTATTTATCTCGCTGCCTAAAAACCCAATACAGAAATAAGTGCAGTATTTATGATGTACATCTCTATATCTATCTATCTATATACATTAACATCTCAAGAACATTGGGACATCCCTCACCCCACGAAATCGATACAAATTATCTCTTATACGGAAACACTTAAATAGTTACAGTATAGCATATATAAATATATACATACATACATATATAT